TCAGAGTTCCCACCACTCCGGACAGCCTTACATTGGGCTGCTTCATTCACTTGTCATCAGCCAGTCCCACCTCCTTCTGCCCCTACACCCTAAGAACTCTGGGCTTAGGTCTGATGTACCGTGTTTCAGGAGGGACACTGATAAGCCAGAGCTGGTGTAGAAAACAGCAACATACGATGAGTTTAAAATACACAGCAACAAAGAATGTTTGACAGCACTGAGGATATTCAGCCAAAACTTTGGTTAAGGCAATAGTTTTCAAAATGCAGAGGGAAGAAAGAAAGGGAAGGGTGGCATGGTAGAGACAGTGGGTTAAGGATTGAATTTTAAGTGCCTCAACCCCCAAATATGTATTGAAATCCTCATCATCTGTACCTGACGTGATCCTGTTTCAAAATAAGGGTTTTCTTTTATTATGTTAATGAGTTCGTGCCAGAGTAGAGTGGGTACTAAACTTAATCCCTTCTCAGTTATAAAAAGAACAGAATAGACAGACACACACAGGAGGAAGACAAACAACAGAGAGAGAAGCATCTACAAGCCCAAGAATGTCAACTTTTGCAAGATTCCAAAACCAGGAAAAAGGTCCACAGAAGAAATCTATACAGCTGAGACCCTCAACTGTGAGAAAATAAATTTCTGTTCTTTAAAGCCACTCACTTATGGTACTTGTGTTACAGCAGTACTAGGTGACTAAGATAGGGAGCAAGTATCATATGAAGTAGTATCATATCATATAAAGGTAAGTATCATATCATATAAAGGTAAGTATCATAAGACAGTGGTTTTCATATGAAAACAAAAGAAGTACTTCACATAAAGATTCCTGCCTCTGATATTTTAAACTGAATTTCAAACAATATTAGAAAGAGGTCATCTCACTGCCATTGAGTCAACTCTGACTCATAGAGACCCCCACTGGGTTTCCTAGGTGGTAAATCTTTACAGAAGGAGATGTCTCATCTTCCTTCTGCAGAGTGGCTGGGGGTTTAAACTATCAACCTTCTGGTTAGCAGTCAAATGCCTTAAGCACTATGCCACCACAGCTCCTAAAAGAGGTTGTAAGATTTTTATATGTACAATCATGCATCACTTAACATCCACAAGGACGTCTGTGAAACGGACGTTGTGTGATGTGGACGAATACCATATAAGAGTCTGCTCCTGCTTTTTCTTTAACCATTTCGAACAAGCTGCGTGCTTTAGCAGTTATCTTCAATGCACTGAAAGGGATTCACTTCTGTATTGGATCCTTAATCCACATTGTTAACAATTTCTCCATATCTGATATATGCCCCACTTACATTTTTGTTAGCCTTGTAGCTTTCAGTGGAACTGATCCTTTAACAGCTTGGAGAACTTTTTCTTTTTTTTTGAGTATCATTGTGATTGTCGAGATTGACACACCTACACTGTGAGCAATAACATTCACTGATTTTCCACTTTTTTATTGTTTAATAACCTTTTGTTTCACTTCCAAATGCTTATTTCTCCTTTGCTTCTTGCTGCTGCTATCACTAGCACTGGTTTTACTGTGTTTGGGAGCCATGGTGTACTTCATAATTAATATTTTCAAAAGAAAAATAGATAATGCTACAACACTCAAGAAACCTGTGGTACATGAGATCGGATACTGCTGCCTACAAATTGAAGCAAACAGTGTTAAGCAGCAAACTTTTGAGAGAGAAAGCATGATACAGGCTGTCCCAGGCCTATGAAGGAGATCTGTTCCTAACTGTGTCATTAAGTCCTTAAGTAGAATTTGTAGGTTGAGTTGGAAAAGGTGTGTACAATTCTTATTTAGCCTTTAGTGCAAGGAACTCTGGTGGCATATTGGTTAAGGCATTCGGTTGCTAAGCAAAAGGTCGGTAGTTCAAACCACAAGCCACTTCATGGGAGAAAGATGAGGCAGTCTGCTTCTGGAAAGATTTACAGCCTTGGAAACCTTATAGGGCAGTTCAGAATTGACTCCACTGCAATGGATTTGGTTTTGGGCTTAGTGCAAGAAAAAGCCCTGGTGGAACAGTGGTTAAGTGCCCAGCACTAACCTGACTGCTCAGCAGTTTGAACCCACCAGCTCTGTGAAAGAAAGATGTGGCAGTCAGTTTCCATAAAGATTTATAGCCTTGGAAACCCTAAAGGGCAATTCTACTCCATCCTACAGAGTTGCTATGAGCTGAATTCAACTCAACAGCAGTGGGTTTGGGGTTAGTACAGAAAAAGGTTTGAAATATTTTCAGTGATTTAAAAGCTGCACATGATTGTTATGAAGATTTGTTACAAGTAGCAATCACCTCCAAGTGAGGGCAGTTCTAGGGAGTGTGTCACTCCCTGCTGTTATTGTTTACTTTACAGGTCTGGCTATTGTTTAGCTGTAAGTTGAGCTATGGGGGGTGGCTTCAAGGGTTAAAAGGGCCATAGTCTTGGGGGTTCCCCAGTCTCTAACAGACTAGTAAGCATGGTCTTTTTTATTACTTAGAGTTTTGTTCCACATTTTTCTTTCAGTGTTATCTAAAGCCTTCTGTTGTGATCCTCTTCTGAGTGGTTAGGATTTCCACACTCTATTATAACCTCACGGACCTCAGACATAGACGTTGCTGGAACAGATATTATAGGAACAGAAGTCATACAGCACACGACTATCTTAAAGGAAAGCATGAATAAGAAATACTCATTTAAAGGAAACATAACAACCATCTTGGATTCCTTGGAAAAAACTATTTTCAATACCCATTATGCTAATTAACAAGACACTGTTTTCACCAATGGAGATCCATTCCTAACAATGGTTATGCTAATTTGATCTGATATTAAACTATAAAAATAGCTGAGGCAATTGTAGTAGCTGTCCCTGGAGTGTGGCCTTTCTGATTAAATGCTAAGTGTATACCCCAAGATGCAAATTTTTATTAAAGCCATTGACCACACCTAGACAAAAAAAAAAATGGAGAGGCTGGTGGGTTTGATTCGTTGAGTGCCCTACTGCGCCACCAGGGTTCCTTCACTGATAATAACCAAACCACTGCCATAGAGTCAATTCCTACTCACAGCAACCCCCTTTTGGTTTCCAAGGAAGTAAATCTTTATGGAAGTAGATTGTCCAGTCTTCTTTCCGCAAAAAAAAAAAAAAAAAAAAAAAAATTCAATAGCCCATTTAAATCTCATAAATATTCTATAAGTAGGTATTGCTATTTTATTACTCATGAGGAAACTGAGGCTTAGCAAAATAAAAGTCTAACAGCTAGTAAAATGGCAGACCTTACATTTTAAGGACATTCACTTTCCAGTCAGCCTATTTATTAAGAACTAAACTACAGAGTAGCTCATCTTGAAGAAATTATATGTATAAAATCTCAACCATAAATTTTTTGGTTATTAATATTTTAGTGCTTAAGAATGAACACTCACTTGGTTCCCACATGAACCAATTGTTGTTGTTGTTATGTGCCGTCGAGTCAGACCCGACTCATAGCGAGCCCTCCTTGGGTTTCCGAGGCAGTATCACTACGGAAGTGGATTGCCCAACCTTCCTTCCGAGGAGTGGCTGGTGGGTCTGAACCGCCAGCCTTCTGGTTAGCAGTCAAGTGCCGCAGGCACTACGCTACCAGTGCTCCTACATAAACCAATACTCCTTGCAAATATTGTTTAGCAAGCAATGTTATCTTTGAACAAGACCATTTTAAAACAAATATGTCTTAGAATAAACAGGAAAATAACCTGAACCCATTGTGCAATAATTTCCTAATTTTGATGCTTTCTCTCTTTTAGGCACCCACATTTACCACGTTAGGGCTGTTGGCTTTCATTTTTTTTTTTTTTTTTCCCCAATATCTATCTGCTCTTTCTAAACTATTGCAGTGTAGTGAAATACTTAATATGGCCCTTCTAGCCAGAGTCCTCCATTTTGTGATGTGTTGTAAATCCTAGCCTCTAAGCCTGAGGTCCCATTTTGAAGTAAGTTGTCCATTATGTTAATGAGGCAGGATTAGGGCGGGATGTATCTTGAGTCATCACCTTATTAGAGGGTGTGACTCAAAGTACTACACACCCTTGCACAAGTAAGAAAAACTCCCTTCACAGTATGGTCTGCATCCAATACATGTGAGTACTCTGGCAAAGTTGTCTCTCTTACTCTGGGTTCTATACCTGGCTCATCATCATTGGACCTGAGGTTCTTGGGACTTAAGCCGGTAGCCTATCATCTGACTGATTCGCTGTCTGACACAGCCTTGTGAGCCTGCAGCCTGTTGTGTGACCCGCTGATTTGAGTTCATCAGCCCCTGCAACCACGGGAGTCTGGAGAGGCTTCCAGACTGATACCTGACCCATGGGTTTGGGACTCGCTAGCCTCCACAGCTGCTTTAGTGGTGTGAGCCATTTCCTTGATGGTTAGTGAATTCTGTTAGACAAAGCAGTGGATTATGGACCCCTAAGAAGGGAAGGAAAGTACTGAGGGGAGAAGGAGGAGCTGATGTGAGAGCTGCTGCAGTATTATAGCAATTTGGAAAAGCTGGACATCTGGGACATCTACAACCCCTGCCTCATAGGAACCAGCTTTGTGCTCTATCCTTTCAAAAGTAATTATTCATGCAAACAGAATTTTCACAATTATTATTTTCCATTAGGATGGGTACTGTATATTTCCAATGACATGAATGACTGGATGATTTTTTTTCATCTCTAGTTCTCTCATGGTCAACTAGTCCATCAACAACACATATCTGCCTGAACTTTCAGACACATAAGGAATATCTTCATTCCCGATCCAACTGAGTGTAAGCTGAAAAGGAAAGGACTACTTTGAGTTAACCATTCAAGCTCTAGCATCCAAAAAGAACATCTTCTGGCACTTGAAAATAAAAATGAGAATGCCAAGCTGTTACCTCTGAAGAAAACAACCAAAATCGATAGCATATAACCATAACACGACATGGAGAAACACGATTTTATTATATGCAGGAGACAAAGTAAAAAGCCCTTAAAGTCAATTCCTGACTTACGTTTTTCATCATCAGCATGCACCAGGGATGCCGCCCTTGACAAAACATCCAATGGGGTCTCCATTCCTGGTTGGAGCCTAAATGGGGGGAAAAAAGAAATTAAATAGAATTTTCAAGTCCCTTTTAGAATTCTTGTACTTAACAGAATCATCCCTCTACCAAATACAAATCTCCTAAGGATGAAGTTCTTCCATCCTGGGAAGAACAGACTAGACTTGATTCAGGAATAGATAGAGGAAAGAGTTAAATTCCATTCTGTTTACTAAACCAAACTTTGCCAATTCCAGGAAGCAGCTCATGTCAGAACCAGAAGAAGGAATATTGTACATATTCATGTCCATGTTACTTGTGCTTATAAATGTTTGTGTGCATGCATAACATGCCTGTTCAGACAGATCCAATAAGAGACAGTTTTCACAACAAAGGTTGCTGTATGCACAAAGCATGACTACGGGACCAAGGTTGTTACTATTGACATCACTGGGGTGGTTTATTTGTCTTAATAGAAATTACTAAAATTGAATCATTCCATTCTTTCACCTCCTTAGCTGAGAAGTTACAGTCTTATCAACAGTAGAAAGGAATTCTGCCTGTGTAGGTGTAGCTTAATTTATGCAAAGCATTCATGAAATGTGTGTGAATTCCATTTGTGAGTTCCATGGTATCTTTAAGTCCAACAGAAATCTTTATTTTAAAATGTCAAGTGTTGTTGTGAATTTGACTGTCATCACCACCCATCACCAATTTATCTAGTGCCATGTTGTTAATGATCCTAGGTTTTTATTTGTAATTCTTTTCTTAAATTATAGCATACCTGTAAAAGCAAAACCTACAAAAGATTTTAAGCTGAAGGAAAACCCTAGAAAACTAAGCTGTCTTTGCCCAGTTTACCTTTTCTGGATTACTTAAACACACTGTGAGGTACAGAAGGCAATTGACTTTTGTTCTCCGTTCCTTCCAGCTGAACAGCTAAGGCTACTAAGTGGGGGCTGACCAGACCATGAGGTATCATCCAGTAGCCCAATGTTTACTAAGCCTCAGGAGGCATGATGTACTCTATCATGGCCATGTCGGGAGGCTGGTAAGAGCCTGAACCCTAGGGCTCAGAATGGCTTCCTGGTTGACAAGAATATCTGTTCTGAAGAGGGTAGTGCATCCTCCCTAGGAACACAGAAGCTTCCTAGACCTCATCCTATATGACACTTAGTTTGTATCCTTTTTGGTTGTAATAAATCTGCAGTCGCAAGTATGTTCTACTCTGTGAGATTATATGAGTTGTTCCAACAAATAATTGAACCCAAACGGAAGGTGGGAGCCAGCAGGTCACAAAATAAGGCTGTTTGTGTGGACTCCCTAGTTTTTAAGCTAGATTAAGGAAGGGGCAGTGGGAAACCAGCTCTGAATCTATTGCTAGCAGAGCAGAAGGTTTGGGTGTCACGTGAACTCCCCAAGCTTGTGGCTGGTGTCTGCCTATCTGCTAGTCTAAAAGACAGTTAACGTTTTACTTACTCTGACCCAGCTCCAGCTGGCTAGAGCCAAAGACAGAGTGCCACGTGGGTACCTGGTGACTTAGATGAGGAAATGAAGATGAATATGAGGACTGGGTCAATCTCCATCTTTTAGGGATTAGATTCATACTGATCCTTACACACAGTTGGCCATAAAAACTGGCTTTGCCCACTTTACCCCTCACTTACTTCATATGCGTACACGCACACACAATATTATTATAAAAACACACTATTAGTTGAAGAGCTGAGAAAAACACCTTAATTGCACTCCTTTAAAGATACTCAGCATTAAGAAAGGCTCTTTTAAGACCTAGCTATATGAGATCAAACAACACCAACTCTAAACATTAGATAGGAAACTTAGGGGAAAATGAGTTTCTGTTAATGGAAAGTAACAACTCAGAAAAGGAAGGTGAGAATCATTGTACAACTTGAAGAATGCTATCAATGTCCCTGAATTGTATGTGTACAAATGATTGAGGTAGTGTATGTTCCGCTATGTATATTCTCAACAACAATATGAATAAATAAATCATTAAAATGAATTTGCACTGTAAATGTTCACCCAAATCACAATAAAAATTTTTTAAAATGATACTCAGAATTTATTCAGTATTCTTCAACTATCCACTATGTAGGAACCAGCTACAACATGTGGAAGACTAGCTTTTCTTTATAACATTATACTTAAGAGCTCAGGCTTCCAAAGAAACCTCAATCCTTGATCTTGCAAGTGACTTCATTGAATAAACAAATATCTACTAGGTGCTAAGGACCGGTGCAGTGTAGTAAATTACTTAGTGTGGCTTTTCTACCCATAAGTCTTTGTAAACTCCAAGGTGGGATTTGCTATGAGCAACTGAGGAGCTCCTGATTGTAAATGTTATCCACCTGGGTTATTTCTGTTGGGTGTGGCCCAACACAATTTGATGGGAGGCTAACTCTCAGGTGCTTAGAATTC